CCCCCCTCCTCTTTTCCCCCCATTCCAGAATAACCCCCCCCCCCCTCCTTTTTCCTTCAGCATCTTCGAGGACGAGAGCGAAGTCAGCCGAGGCGCCGGCGGCCCGCGAGGAGAAGGACGGCTTTGTCCCCCTCAAGACACGCACGCCTTCCGGGTCGGCTCAGTGCCAGGTCGGTGCAGGTGGGGGGGGGGGGTGATGTTTAAGGAGGGAGGGGGAGGGGAAGGGAGGGGAGGAGGGGAGGTTCTGTTATTTATTGTTCTTTTTCTTGTTTTTTTTCGTCTTCTTCGTCTTCTTCGTCTTCGTACTTCTTCCTGAATTTCTTCGCCTCTTTCGTTTTCTTCTTCATCCTTCTTCCTACTTCTCTTGCTTCTCTTCGTTCGTCACATAATGTTGATGATGATAATAGTAATATCAATAATAATGATAACAATAATAGTAATGATAATTATAATGACGATAGTAATGGTAATAGTAACAGTAATAATGACGATAGTAATGATAATAGTAACAGTAATAATGACGATAGTAATGATAATAGTAACAGTAATAATGACGATAGTAATGATAATAGTAACAGTAATAATGACGATAGTAATGATAATAGTAACAATGATAATGATAATGATGATAGTAGTAATAATAATAATAATGATAAGAAGAAAAATATGAATAATGTTGACGGTGCCCCTCTTTCGGCCCAGGGCGAATGCCGCGACGGCGCCGAGGACTGCGAGCACACGAGCCTGATGGAGCAGGCCGCCCCCAGCAGCTCCTCCGCCAGAGCCTCGCACCGCCAGTCCGCCGGGTCCTCCCTGGGGAAGACGCCGCCCAGGGAGGAGGCGAGTCTCCCCCAGAACGGCGGCGTCCCCTCCAAGAAGTCCCCGGCCAGAGAGCGACGTCGGAAGGGCCGCTCGACACAGCGTGACACCTCTCCCGACGTCCGCGGCGAGGAGACCTGTGCCGCGCCCTCTGTCCCCCTCCAGACTCCTCCCGCGGCGCTCTACGGGAGCCTGGACGCCGCCGCGCACGTGCTGCCCTTCGCCGCCCCGCGACACGTGCACAGCCACACGCACAGCTGCATCATCCACAGCCCGCAAGAGCACCCCCCTCATCTCCACGCGCCCGTGTTCATCCCCAGCGTCTACGACGGGCGGGACTTCGGCCAGACGCTCCCGGGACGCAAGTACGTGTGCCGCGATCACCAGAGGCACCAATACCAGGGGCGCGGGCCGCAGGACAGCCACCCTGAGTGCCAGGGACAGTCTCCCAAGGCGTATCACCAGGGACTGCATCAGCCGTACCAGGGAGAATACCAGGCGCATCCAATGCAGCACAGGGGGTACCAAGACCAGCATGTAGCATACCAGGGGCAGCAAGAAGCATACCAGCGGCAATACCAGGCGCAGTGCCAAGCACACCAATCACAGCCAAACGCGCAGCAGCAGCAAGTACACGTGGACGACAGCCCTTCGCGTCAGAGGCCCCGCCTTCCTCAGGACGTCCCAGCTGCCCAGCAGACGTACTTGGATTCTGACAGACTGGGAGGCACGGACGGCGCGCTGCTGGAAGATCCCTGCTTGCCAGTATCCCGCAGAAGGTCTGTGGATTGTGTGAATACGGATTGGGAACACCGAGGGAGATGGGGAGGGAGAAAGAGAGGGAAAAGGGGAGAGGGAGAGACAGAAAGAAAGTAGGAGAGAATGAGACAGAAAAATGGAGAGAGAGAGAGAGTGAGTGAGAGAGAGAGAGAGAGAGAGAGAGAGAGGGAGGGAGGGAGAGAGTGAGAGACAGAGAGAGAGAGAAAGAGAGAAAGAGAGTGAGAAAGAGAATAATTATCATTGCTGTATTCGCAGCATCATATTCATCATCATATCACAGGCTTCTCATCAACAGTCCACTTTGTTCGCAGGGCACCCAGTTACCATGCTGACGGAGGAGGACCAGACGTCCTCCTTCCTGGAGACCCTGCAGCGCCCTCCGGAGGCCTTTGCAGACCCGGCGTCCTTCGACCACCCAGTCTACTTCCTTCCGCAGCATCCCGAGGGTCTCTCCTACGGCCCTCCCCTCCCCCCTCCGGCGCTCTCCCCGAAGGACGTGCGGCATGGCCTCCCGCCCTTGCCCCTCGATGCCTGCCCCTCGCGCCCCTACTCGTACCAGCACCCGCCGCCGCCCTCTGGCCAGGATCACCCGCCATCCTCCGGCCGAAGTCCCGCTCACAGCCGCCCGCCGCCGCCCAGCCCGGGCCACCGCCACCCCACGCCGCCCAGTCCCCGAGGCCCTCGCCGCCCATCCCCGCCCACGCCGAAGACGCCCACCTCGAGGCGGCCGTCCCCGAGTCCGAAGGGCAGGCGGCCCCAGCAGCCGCCTGACAGCCCGAGCCGCCCCCCGCCGAGTCCCAGGCGCGCGCCCCCGAGCCCCAAGGCAGAGCGGCGCCGCCTGCCCCTCGCGTCCAGCCAGGAGCTGTTCCGGTCCAAGGTGGCGTTCAGGCAGGGCAGCGCCTCGCCGCCCCCGCCGCCGCCGCCGCCGCCGCTGCCTCCTTCGGCGCAGTTCACGAGGCGCCCCCGCTTCCCCGACGACTTCCTGTGGCAGCGCGGGGTGGGCAGGACGCCGGGGCAGGACGGGAAGGACGCCGCTGAGGAAGGACGGCCGACGACGACCAACAGGACCAGATGAAAACCCACGCAGTCGCTCTTATATGTATTTGAAGTATGAATGTTCAACTTAGATTCTTATTCATAAAACGAAAAAACAAAAAAAAAACAGTAGAATGTTGCTTTTACCTTTACAGAACACACTATGGCGTATTAAAAAAAAAGGATAATATAAAACAATAATTGAGATAAAACATATTTTTCAGATATAATTTCTTTTCATTATAACAAACAAAACTCATGAAAGTAAAATCTGATTGTTTCCTGGAAAGAGTAATAATATAATATAGATACCCCTTGAATTCCCATTTTCCTATAAGCTGTAATTATTTTGGGGGTAACAATAGTAAACCGCTGACAGATAGAATACAGACAAGTTGGAAGTGTTTTGTATAAAAAATATATGAAAAGCAAATGATTAATATTACAAACAATCAGTAGTTTATGCCAAATGAAGAGAAATACTATGACTTTCATATATCAAACCGTCAGAATTAACCGAAAAGACCTATAATTTATACGATTATTCAAACCCCTTTTGGCGAAAATGTAGAAAAATAGCCAGAATCATTATGCTTTTAAAGAATACAAATCTTTAATAGAAACAAATCCTATCTTAATTAAAAGTTGTAATGAATGCTGTATTTACACTGCAGTACAAATAGTGAGAAAGCGAAAAAACAGAAAATGAAAAGGATTAGTTTAGAATATCACTTCTATTTCCGCAACACCGTTAATGATAATGATAACAGTGATAATAAGATAATGTTGATATTGATATTAGTAATAATGATGATGATGATGATGATGATAATAATAATAATAACAATAATACTGATAACTATAATGCAAATGATAATGAGAAGAAGGAGAATAATAATGATAATAATGATAATGATAATGAAAATTATGATGATGATGATAACGATAATGATAATGATAATGAGAATTAGATTGAGAATGAGAATAATAATAATAACGATTATGATGATAATGATGACAACAATAATAATGATAATCATTATTATCAATGATAACAATAATCATAATTATTGTTACTGTTGTTATTATTGTTATTGTTATTTTTATTATCTTTTATTATCATTATATTTGTTATTATTATTACGATTATTATTATTATTATAAATATTATAATTTTTATCATTATTATCCTCATTCATATTACTATTATTATTTTATTATTATTATTATTATTATTATTATTATTATTATTATTATTATTATTATTATTATCATTATTATTATCATTATCATTATTATCATTATTACTATTACCATTAATATCGTTATTATCATTATCATTATTGTTATTACTATTATTATTATTATTATTATTATTATCATTATTATAATGATCATAAAGATAATGATAATAATGATAAGAATAATCATAATGATGATGATAATAATAAGGCTAGCAATAATAATAATAATAACAGTAACAGTAACAATTACATTGATAATAATAATAATAGTATCAGTAACTAAAAGTAATAGTAATTATAATGATAACATAATGATAATAATGATAAGAAGGAAAATGATAATGATAATACTGATGATCGATAATTAAAAATTGGTTAAAGCGATTCCAATGCATCGATTCCCTTGTAGATAGTCAATGTCTACTTATCTTTCTATCTCTTTCTATCTCTTTCTGCCTTAAGCTGGAAGAGAAGGGAAGTGGGAAGGGTAGATGTAGGGGAGAGAAGAGGATGATGAAAGAGGGAGAGAGAGAGGAAGGGAGAAGTATTATAAGTATTTTTTTTAACACTATGATCATCAACATTATTATTACAGTTATTGTTATCATCATCACCATCATCATTATCATCGTCGTCATCATCACCATCATTATCATCACCATTATAATCAATATTATTACCATCAGTATTATTGTTGTTGTTATTGCTGTTATCATTATCATCGTTATTATTATTATCATTATTATTATTATTATTATCATCATCATTATATTCATTATTATTATCATTATTATTATCTTTATTATTACTATTATTATCATTATTATTATCTTTATTATTACTATTATTATCATTGTTATTAGTATTGTTGACAATATCATGATCATTATTACTATTATTTCTATTAAATATCATCATTATCATGATTACTTCGTCACTGCAATAATCATTTTCATCATGATAACCATCACCATTATCATCATAACTACCATTATTATTAGCATCTATGCTGTTACCATTATCACCTTTATTATCACCATCGTTCTTATTATCGTAATCATTACCATACATTTGAGAAAAAATACCGTCGCGATACAGATAAAATTACGTTGTTATTGATTAACTAAGACGATACTGATACGAGTCTGAGAAAAATAAGGAAAGAGTTTGTTATTGGTGCTGTCGACATCTCACCTGTCAGTTACAAGTGTAACTATTGTTATTGTGCGGTAGAAGTCATCAGTATTTTTTTATGTTGAAATTACATGGTAATGTTTATTACATCAACATATCCACGCGTGATACACATGTTTGAAAAACACTTTTTGCTGCAGTCATTGTTTGCAGTGCATCATCCATCCAAATAGAATATTCACTTATCATTTGGGAAATTCTCTTACAATAAAGTATTGGCGATGCTATACCGGCGATAGATGCTTTAACTATCAACGAAGAATCGGTTTGTAGCGTTTACTTTGTTAGTTGGCTATGCATATTGTAGTATTTACTCTATGGACGTCTCCGCTATGTTTCAATATATTTTTTTTTCAACGTTCAGTCTCCTCTCCGATCACTGAAAAGGACGTGAAGTGGTAGGTATGTATTCCTTTAAACAACAGGAATACATGGAGAAAACTCATTCAAAATAAGCTGGGAAGAAGAAGAATACTATCATCATCATTACCATTAATATCATCATTATTATCAGTAATATTGTTATCATTATTATTATTATCGTTATCATTAATACTATGATTGTTATTATTATTATTATCATTATTATTATTATTATTATTATTACCATTATTATTATTATTATTATTATTATTATTATTGTATTATTATCTTCAGTATTACTATTATCATCATTATTATTACTATTAATTTACTACAACTACCACAAATATTTTATTATTATAATTATTATTATTACCATCATCATCATCATTATTATTAATTGCAAAATAACCATTTTGATTATCGTTATTATTAGTAACGTTACAATTACAAGCGTTACAAGCATCATTATCAAATATTGAACACACGTTATTTGATGGTAATGATAATAACAATGATAATGATAATAATAATGATAATGATAATGATAATAACAATAATGATAATAATAATAATGATAATAATAATAATAATAGTAACGATGATAGATAAGTATATAATTTTCGTTACTTTTACCATAATTTTAATATCAGTGAAAGTCAGTTAGCGCCCTTGCCTCCTGTTAGTTTTCTCCGTAACAAACTTTGCAACGACCTTGGATTATCTGCAACTGGTCTTCTTCATCGGTATTCATACAAATTATCTCTATTTTCGTTTTCTTTTAATTTTCTAAGTATCGCCCTCACCATGTCGTTGGATGTTTTTTGCCGAAATTGTTTTATTTCTTGTACCCTCTCATCAAGACATGGGCGCGCCGAGATGTGATTCGCAGCCTGGTCTGCATGGCAGACGGACTGATTAAAAAGCAATAAAACACAAGCAGATATTCATTTTTTTTGCGATTGTGTGAAGAGCAAGCCGAATGAACACAAAAGACATTCATGGCGCCTCCGTGGAAGCTTTTCCCCTTGGCTTGGAAGGGAGTCGATCGCCGGTCCTCCGCGTAGGAGGCAGTTAGCGTATCCATTCCGCCATCACTATCCGATATATTGAGGGAGACATTTTTCCATTTGACTGCAATATTTCCCGCATTAATTAACCCATTGCCGCCGGGAAAAATGAACAAAAAAATGGGGGAAATGCAGTATTCATTTTTTATATTTTTGTGAAATATCTGATTTCACCTTCCCTTGAATTGGCGGGAAAAAACGTATTTTTACTAGTGCTATAAATATAGATGGTGTTATTTTTAACAGCAAATTAGGATAACGTTAAATATTTTCGTAAATCGATGAAAAGGGTGAACGGGCGAGACAGGCAGTTCTCATAATTGGCTCATTAGATACTTAGTACAAGTGTAGCCATCTATGTGTAAAAACAATCGAACAAGTCGACTCACAGTGGGCATGGCATGTACGTACATGCCATCCCCGGCGGCAATGGGTTAAAAATCGATTGATGTATTGGTGTATGTGTGAGTTAGTGAATGAGTATCCGCGTGTGTGTGTGTGTTACCAACATTCTTTTAGAGAATAACAATAATTAATTGTGAACTATTGTTGTTATTATTATGGTGAACCATATAAAGAGCCATACTGAAAAAGTCGAGAATTATGCTGTATTGGACTGGATGGTTATATTGCAAGTTTCGAAAAGCATTCTTACTGATTTCTCCCTCGGCAGCGTGGCAGTAATCTCACGTCAGCAAAAACAATACGAAAAATGGCCCTCAGAGACAAAAAATCTACGGGACTCGCACGAGCGGTTTAACCACGGGACTTTCCACTCTCCTGCACATATCACTCAAGCTGGCTGGGCTGAGGAAGCTGCTGGTGCCACTACGAGACGAGTGCCATAGAGGCGAGGACACCATCCCTTCTGAATATTGTTTTTATATCAATATATATATATATATCTCCAGAATAAGATATTATAGAAGCGTATTTCAATATAATCTGCTACTTTTATCACCGCAAGCAGCACCAGTATTAAGAAGAGATGTGAA